GCCGGGGGCGGGGCCTGCGCCGCCGCCCCGCGCCCATTGGGTGGCGCGGCGGGCTGCGGCTACAAAAGGCAACACGGCCGGCTCCTCATTGGTCCGCACCGCGGGGCTGTTGCTCTCCTATTTGCATATTTAAAGAGGCAGCGCCTCCGTCCCTTCCCCCCAGAGGACCCAGGCGCCTATGGGGGGGGGGGAATGAATCCATAGTAGTGATGTCATGGTCATGGTCATGGTCATGGTCATGGTCATGCAACCCCCCCCTCCCCCCATCCCTGCTCCAGATGTGCAAGCGCCAGATGTGCCCTGCGGCTCCAGACACGGCGGGGACCGGGCAGCGCGCGTGGGCAGGCGTGCAAGGGCGGGGGAAACTGAGGCACGAGAAGGGCAGGCGAGAGCCCCCCCCCCAGCGGGAGAGCTGAGCGGGCGGGTGCAGGTGTTTCCCGGGGGAAACCCGCCGGGAAAGCCCCCGGCACAAGCAGAAGCAGAAGCGGCAGCGGCAGCAGCAGCCGAAGCCCTTCCTGGGTAAAGCCGCCACTCGGCGCCCATCCTTCCCCAGGCCTTGCCGACGCCAGCCAGGTCCGCCCCCGGGCCCCCCTGCACCCCCGGGGCCGTGCCAGCCCAACCGCGTGGGCCCCACTGCTCGCCCCCGGGCGCAGGCCGCCCCCAGGCCCGGCGGTCAGCGCTAGGCCGGCGCCCCGCATGCAGCCAGGGGTCACTCACGCGGGCCGGCGACTCGTGGCTTGAGTCCCAGGGGCCTCCTCGTGCCCGGGGTCTCTTTTGTCCCCGGCTGCGCCTGCCTGGGGTGCCGCACACCTTCCCGGGCAGGGAGACCCGGGCACAACAGGACGTGCTTTGTTCGGAAGGGGCGCAGGTCCCCGGCTGCCCTTGGGGGCAAGGCTGCCTTCTGCCCCCACCACTGGCACGGGGCGCGCTGAGGGCTGCAGAGCCTTGCAGGGGAGAGGGGCCAGCCGAGCAGATGCAACAGCGCGACCCTGCCGCAGGCCAGGACGCCGCCTGCCACGGTGCCTGCTCGCCGCCGCCTGCAGAGGAGCTGCCCATCCAGCCTGGGGGTGTGGGGGACCACCCCCATGTGGCACTTACCCCATTGGGCACCGGGGTGTGGTTGGGGCCCTGGTTGGCAGCAGGGAGACGAGGGCAGGTAGGGGCTCAGATGCCGGGCAAGGGGCTGGAGGCTCTGCAGCCCTGGGCAGCTCTGGCCACACCTCGGTCAAAGGTCCAGCTGAGCTCTGGTCTCCTGGAGGCAGTGGGGAGGGGTCAGCTCAGCCCCTAGGTGCTCGCCCCTCCATCTTGCCTGCCACGGCTGCAGGAAACAGGGGTTGGAGCAGTGCCGGAGCGGGGCCTGCCCCTACACACCACCCAGCTGGGGCAGGAGCCCTGTGCACTAATGGAAGAAGGCCCCGTCCCCCCAGAGCGAGGAGGCCTGGTTCCCCACCTCGGGGTGGGAAGGGAACGGGATGTAGCAGGTCCAACTGGAGACAGGAACTGGGGCTGCTGGGTTCGACCCCAGCTTCTGCTGTGGACTCACTGGAGACCGGGGCATCTCCTGGACCCCCGAAGCCTGGGAGGGGCCAGGGGGGTGGTTTAAGTGATGGGACAGACCCCCTGGAAGGTAGAGTCCCTCCTGGGGCACCAGCTTGCACCCACCCACCCAGCCCAGGCCCCAGCACCCCGGGCACAAGCGGGTGCAGCCCACCTCCTTGCAGTAGGGCGGGGGGTGCAGCCCACCACCCCGGGCACAGCAGGGCTGGGGCGCAAAGCCGCTCTGCAAGGAGCTTGACTCCAGTTTCCAGGCAGTTGCCATGGCAACTCCTTACCCCATCCACAGCCATGTCGCTAATGGCAACTGCAGCAGTGGGTGATGGGCTGGTACCCAGAGCCCCAGGCCCCCTATTTCCACCCCCTCGCATCCTCCCTGCCCCGGGCTCCGCACAGCCTGGGGCCCTCCGTGTTGCAGGGGACATGCATAGGGCCTGCCCCCCCCCGGCTGGAAGGAAGGGGCTGCCCCCCACCTCCCACAGCAGAGGCTGGGTGGAGCCGAGCTGGGAGTGGTGGGGGGCAGTGGGCTGGAGGCTCCAGCACTGAGGACAATGCCCTGGGTGAGCCCCCCCCCCACTGGAAACCCAGTGCATCCCAGGGGGCTTCGGCACCTGTTCTAACCCAGGGGAGCCAGGCCGCAGCTGCTGCGAGACCCGAGCTGCAGGTTTCCATCCATCCATCTGCTCCGCGGCTGCTGCTTGCTCCCAGCACCGCAGGGAGGTTGAACTGGGCACCAGCACCTGGCACCGGGAGCTGCAGCGCCCTGCACAGCCCGGCTGCCAGGGGACGCACCTGCCCTCCCCAGCCCCTTGCTCCATGCATGCCCACGCCGGGGCCGAAGGAGCAAGCCAGACCCCCAGCACCTCTCCCCCCTGGGACCGGGATGCAGGGGCGGAGGCGTGCAGCGGACAGAGCTAGTATCTCTTTAATGCTTGTTCCAATACACTTGCCAAACCGAAACGTCATGTGCAACATGGTGAGGGGTGTGGGGGTGTCTAACCATCGAGCAGCCTCGGCCTCCTGGCAGGGGTGTGGGACAAGGAGGGGGGGCTCCCCCTGCCCCTCATGCCCAGCCTAAACCAGTTTCCAGCTAAGAAGAATATATAAAGCACTAAAGGTGAAACATTCAGTCCCCGACAGACACGTCCCAAACACGCAGCACAAGACAAATCGGGTGGGGGAAAGCGTCCATGACCCAGCTCCTCCATCCCTCCCACGACGGGCAGGGGCAGGGGCAGGGTGCAGCCTCCCTGCCAGGCTGTGCCCAGGAGCCCTGCTGCTGCAGTGGAGCGGCAAAGAGCTCACAGATAAATAAGACCCCCAGGGGTCGAGGGAAGGGGGCTGCTCAGGGTCACTACCTGTTAAAAGGGGGGGGGGGGGGGGAAAAGCTGATGAAAAAAGC